ACCTGGCCCGAAAAAAAAAACTTTAAAGAGAAGAACTGGAGGCCACTAGCGACCATTTGAACGATTCTCTGCCGACAAATGAATCTGACCATCGTAAATAGCAATTCCGATAGGAGTTGGTCAAGATGGATGGGCGGTAACGAAAGTCGGAGAAACAGACACATACATTCCTGCCGCCATAGAATAGAGGTAGAAGTGCCTAGTTCTCGTGGTGACAAGTGAAAGACAATACAGATCGTCTAAAAGTAATAGGAACTCAAAAGGTAGAAGAATTTTAAGAATATTACTGCAAATCGCTTAATACATGAAGCTGCTTAATAAGGAAGCGAATGGAAGATGTACTATCCAACATTCGTAATAGGTTAAGCCGTAGACGAAACATTGAAATGAAAACAAGACAGCATCTAGAAGAATATGAACTTCATAATGGTACTGTAGCGCTACAGCTCAAAATAATGTTACATAACTGCTCATCCGGTCACAGGCTTAATCCTTGCCAGTGCTTTGCCTCAACGAGTTAAATAGAAATATACAGCATCTATCAGTCGACCAGAATGACTAACATAGCGGACTTTACCTTCCCTTTATTATTGCCTCAACAACTTCAGAAGGAAATAAAAGACAATCTCTCCTCCTAATTCAAGACCTTTTCGTCTGTTTGGTTAGAGAAGTGCTTGGCTGGATAAAAGAATTTATTCGATGTTCTAGAACAAATGAACAACCCAGAGTAGGGAAAAAAGTTTACGTAGACCTCAAAAAAAGTAGTCGCCATTAGCCTCCTCCTTAGTGAAACAAGGAAAAAAAATTCCGTAAAGTTCTCATTTAGGTCGCTTGGATCAATCATGAAATCGAACACGCTAATGGTGTGTTTCCTACCAATCAAACCGCTCGTCAACTTTTCGATTCCTCCAAAAAATCAAGATTTGATACCACGCCAGAGATAAGACATAACGTCTTCCAATAAATGTACGCCCGGAATACAAAAAATAACGCTAAGTTTTACTTATGGATAAATGAAAGTTCAATTTTAAATTACAAGTTCGGGTTACTGCACGCCTAAACTCGTATTATGAAAATTTAAAAAGAAAAGGATAAAGCTCTCGGCGTTTATCAATCTCTGAGGGATATGCCATGCATTCGACGTCATTAAGCATCGTTTGGAGATCACTGAATGCATTTCTGGCCTTTACAATGACTCGTGGCGGCCAACCGATGTATCGAGCCAGTGCTGCTATCCTCTCAGACAAGTCTGGTACTAATTTGCCGACCTCGGAAGGTGGAGGGCTTAGTGGACCATGGGCGTGGGGACCGATTCCATGTCTGTGTTGCAGGGCGCCTCCAACCACTGCGCCACATGCGCCCGTATTACGAGGATTACGGGGCAAAAAACAATGGGCAGATTGTATTTAAAAGTACAAGAACAAGATAATGTAGGAAAGAAAAGCAAAAATAGAAAGAAGGTACGTGAAGGATAGGAAGCGGAAAAATTGCTGACAAGCTATGACTATTTCTTAGATCTTAGACGAAGCCAGGAGAAGGGCTTAACCTGAGAGAGAAGTATCAACCAAAATGAGAGCTTCTTCAAAGTCACCTCTCTATAGGTCAAAACTTTTATGTAATTACTCCCAAAAATTATCTGTGCAAAAGTCCTGGAAAGAACTAAGACCTGAAAGAATAGGAAGAAATAACACTCCCTTAGAGCCATCATGTCTTAACTTATTAGAGGCCCAGGTGAATGCAAATTAGTAGAAAATTATGGTTTACGCACGACGAAGAACTGCTAATGTGTGAGTCACTTGATTCAATATCCGCTCGGTAGCTTTCATACGAGACTCTCACACCATTTTTCTGCTTTTTGCTGACTGCCCTTAGAAGAAAAAGTGTAGATAGGATTTTTGATGAACGTTTCCCAAGCATTCTTAGGAGAAAAATTATGCTACAGCTTGTTGACAAAAAGATATACTGCGTTCTTTGGCAAAAAATATCTAGCACTTGAACACTTTTCTCCCCAAGACTCATGAAAAATTCAATCGAAGGAAGGGTTTCTCCTCCGCCTAAGTGCCCCAAACAACACACGTATATCTGTACACCTACACACATTCCCATAAGACATACACGGTTCGTTAGAACACTCAAGGATTACCAGGAAAGAATAACCAGGAAAAAAGCTGGTCATATCGAGAATCTTCGAACTTGTACGGATGTGCATGAAAACTTTACAACACCCTAGAGGGCATAAATTTCTTTTCCCCATTATCTCCTCCAATTCCATTCTTTTCCTACCCTAGAGATTCCTTAGAGCAAACAGAGTCCATGAAAACAATTTGGCTCTGTCAACAAGCATTATCAGAAATATTTTTACCTTGAGTTTTCTATATCGAAAGTCACTGGAGCATTCAAGATTAAAGCTACAAGGCAAACTCTCAACATCTTGTTCGCTACTTTAAAAATGAAGAGAGAATATAACCACCAATGAGCTAAATTTTTCGCCTGATTACAGAAAATAAAAAGCAGTTGTTGTTTCTAGGTTTTTCAAAACGTACAGTAAATGTTCTCTACTCCGTTTGTGACGCATAAAACCGGAACACGATGGTTTTGCTTGAGTGCTGAGCAAATCTTAGATTCGAGATGGTTCTTTTTGATTTCTGGCCGAAAAGTTTACTAACGTTGGCGCTGAGTTCAGGTCCTAAGAACATTGCTTATAATACTGATAGAAGGGAACACTACATAATGCGAGAAAGGTTTTCTTTAGGTCTGAGAGACAACAACGTGTGATTTTACCTTCCAGTTACAACTTAAACCCAGAGATATTTCAAGCACATGGATTTCCATACTGAAAGTTTTATAAGCAGTCATAAAGACGAATTGATCAATCATATTTGTCACTTTATTATAAGATCTATTGCTTGTAGCAAACTGGAAGAAGAGAACATAAAACAAAAAGGTGTGAACAAAAAACAGATAAATACAAAAATCAAACATCGTATCCCAATCCTTACTTGAGTGAAACGGGATCCTCCTAGAATCGTCCTTTCGACTGCGCGTTCGATAATGCTGAGTGATCCTTCATCTTGCTTACGCAGCAACCAGGTTTCTGACGTATACGTTAAGGCAGGAAGTACCGTTGAGTCGAAAAGGTGGGCACGGAGACGGATCTTCTTTGTTCTCTTCACTACATCCTCCATACTCTTGAAAGCTCCCCAAGCCGCTCGTTTTCTTCTGCCCAGCTCTAGAGCTAGGTCGTTCATCATATTGATTTCCCGACCTAGACAGATATAGCTGGAGCATTCGATGATATTCGTTCCATTGAGCGTGAATGGAGCACGTGAAACCAATCCGTTCTTCATGAATATCGTTTAATTGCCGACCATCGATTTTCACTCCCATATTAACACATTTCAATGTTCCCAAAAACTTCTGAAGGGTGGTGGTAAATAATTTTGGCGACATTGTATCACCTTGCCTAACTCCTCTTCTGACGTCAACGTCAATATCGTTGTAGAATGGTGAATTCTTGGTAGTTAAATTTTTGTACAGCTCACAAAGAATCTTTATGTACTGAGTAGGGACTCCTTGACTATCAAGGGCTTCCATGACTGCTTCTATCTCAGTTGAATCAAACGCCTTCTGTAAATCGATGAAAGTGATACAGAGCGGTTTTTGTACTCTCGCAATACTTCGATAAGTCTTGTTATTGTGTGGATGTGGTCCATCGTAAAGGAACCTTGCATTCAGACAGGTAACGTGTGAAGAGCCTAGCCAGTGTGTTTACGAGGAATGGCGGAAGGTTCTTCAGGTGTTCTCGTCTTATCCTGTCCGAACCTGATGCTGTTCGATTTTTCACCGACAGAATGGCATGTCGCATTTCGGAAGGGAGAACCGGTAGTACAACATACCCATCCTCCTTTATTTCATATGACGGAAGGTGGACGGGGCTGTCGAAGAGATCCGAGTAGTATTCGTGAATGATTTTCTTCATTCCTTGTCTGGGCGTCAGAGTACAATCATATTGGTCTTGTAGTCGGCGAAGCATCGGCGGGCTTTGCGAATGCTTTTCCCAGTTTCTGCAACTTCGACCGTTACTGCTGCTCTTCTCTCTTTAAGATCTTCTTTTACCACCTGTCTGCATTGTTTTGCAAATTCAGACGTCAGTACGCGATTACCTGCATCTGGTACGATTGCACGCTGGCGTATTAGCTCGAGCACATCTGGAGACAGACGTCTACTGGTAACTTTCGAACTCTCAGCATTCATAGCGCTAACGTGAAGTTGTTGAATGAGCCGATCGATGTTATCGACAAGGGCATTTTCCCAACAACCAACTAATGAATTGAATAAGTCCCAGTTTGCGGTGGTTCTGGGACTTCGGTTTTGGAATTTAGCGGCTTTTTCTTCTTTCCGCGAGAAGTAGAATCTTGCACGAAGGAGACGGTGGTCTGATTCCGTGTAGAATTTTGGGGCAACAGCGACATCGGTTAAACAAAAACTTCTATTTACTATGATGTGCTCTATTTCGTTATGGTACTCCCCACTTCCCACGTCCAGCGTTGAGGGTGGGCTTCCGGAATTACGAGTTACCGTGGATGGTTTTGGTCCCCATAATAAACTCAGATAGCTGCTCACCCCGTTCGTTCCATTCAAATTGGCTCCATAAAGTCAAAATTTCACATTGATAGAATACGATAACTTCTGCTTTATTGGCAAAGGTTAACCAATCCTAATGGGCCAATTTTTTCATTCGGATCGATAAAGTTAACGAAGAGCTGAAATTTACTAGTTAGAAGTTAGAAGCAGCCATTTTCGTGCCATATGAATAGAAATCAATTCATGTCGAACTCTAGTTTTGTGTTAAGAATTTCATTACACCACAAGGTACATACTACGCCACAACAGCACTGAAACAAATGGAGTGGCTAGGATGAAGTGAACTTGTTGATTTTTGCTTCGAGAAGTGTGTGAGAGTAGAAGTCGAGGAAATTGCTCGAAACCGATTTGACTCGATGGATGTCGTCGACCTTCCGGCAATTTTCCCAAAGGCAACACGAAGGAAACTCATTGAGCATTCTGCTCCCGTCTGCAAGAAATGCGACACGAGAACCGAAAGAGTAAAGATTGACGACGTCGTCTCAAGAACAGGAATCGTTCGGCTTGTATCAACAACGGGGAGAAATGAGAGGAAAAGAACCGATGGTAGCGAAATCGAATCGAAGCAGGTGATAAAAATCGAGTAAGTAGACGAATAGGTTAGGCAACAGACAAAGGAATTGAGCTAGATGAGGCTAATAAAGTAAGAGATTTACTTTGAAAAACACGAATAGTGCTAAAAGAAAGACTCATGAGAAGTTTAAATGAAGGTTCAAACCAAAGCAAACTCCGAAAGAGAAACTATGAAAGGAAAAACGGGCGTTTGTGATGTACATAAGGTGGTAGAGAGAAATAGCTGTAATCAACCACAAGACCGATTTTACATCGGACGACGTGAATTTGACAAAGGTTTAACGTATTTCGGCCATTGCATTTTAAAGTACTATTCGCTCGAGATCACAGAAGCTCTGCCAAATTTGGAATAGACGGTAACAAATAAAAGATGCATTTAGAAGGGATCAGGGAAAGGAAACGAACAAGTGCTCATCTCTCGGTTGATAGTTTTGGCTCATTTCTCGATGATAAATAAAGAAAGCAACCATAACAAACAGCTGAATCACTATAAGAATCACTAAAAACGGAAGAATCTAAAAAATTTTAAGCCAGTGACGACATTGTGCCATCATCACATAAGCCTAATTAACACTGAATTAGAACTACAGCATTATTCCTGAGAAGTGACATCGATGAGGTGTCTAACGACGTTCGTCAGAGAAACGCAGCATTTGGTCTATCTAGAAGGGATGGAAACTTTCGCATAAAGCGATATGTTCAGACAGAGAAATCTTAGGATCAGCTGACTTAAACAATCACACGTATTGAGCAATTGGTGAGTTGCAAGGCTTAACAAATGAATACTGGTATAAACTCAAACCGACCATTGGCCGCAAACCTATGGAAAACTTCCGGCAAATGAGAGGCGGATCATAGGAATTGGATTGTGCGGAAAGTAAAGCTGTAGTCCCATCAGAACAACTTAAATCCATGAAACTGACTAATTCGCGACATACGAAAGATATGTATTTCTAACATACGACATTGCATGTTTACAGAAAGTTCACGCTTCGATGTCGAAATTGTTCAACTATGGTTCGATTTCTGGTCCGACGTTGTCAATAAACCATGCAATGAGTGGCTGTCTTTCGTGGCCAGAAAACACTCTCTACTTTCCTATTCATAATAATTTATTCGTCCTGAGAGATACCTAATTCGGTTGCTTCATCTAAAAGAACTTTCACTAACTTTTTGGATATCGCTGATATGAAAAGGTATTAACCTTTTCACATTTGGCTTCCATTGGGTGATTACTATCAATAAACAGAAGACAGAAACCAGAAAAAGCTATGTTCGTTTCAAAAAAATTTTTCTGTACAGAGAAAAACACAAGCCGAAAACTAGCTGAATGCTTACCATCGTCGTCAAACTGCCTCTCTGTGTACTGAACGTATTCACAACTGGAATAGCAGTCACCTCCCAAATTACCTGGCATCGTCAACGAACACGGCAACGCACCTAAAAAATGTAGAAAGCTCATGAAAATGCAACACAATGGGACCATTACGTTCTATACCACAATTTACAATTCGATTAACAACCCGTTATGGATCGTCTTTGCCTAGAATTCCGAATGGCCCTCGTTTAAAACATTGAAACAAAGAACCTATAATAAATCGCTTCCACTCATGCTCAGCTTTACAGCGATTGTGGGAGTTCTTCTTTCAGTTATCTGTTTTGACTGGTCCCAATCATGATCACCATTCCACAGAGCAACCATGTTACAGAAATACTGAGCAGAAGTAGAATCAGCTTGGAATGGTGAATAAATATGAACACCGGAGGACGTTTGGATAGGTTTAAGAACACAAAAATTTGAAAACGCGGTCAGATTCCGAATTTGATGGGAACTAACGACTCAACCAGTGATATGAATAATTTCACTACAGTTACGTTAGCTAAGAAAGTAGCCTCAAAGAACAGTTTAAAATCCAACAACGCTGGTTAACAAATTCTGAGATGAACCTCACAGACATGTGGTGATGTCTTTCCATTTTTCTAGTAAACAAAAGTGTTAAGTCAAGACAGCAACTAATCTAAAGTAAGTTCAAACTCAAGCCACTTAGACACAGTCTACCGATCCATCACTGACGTAAAATTTCGCGAAGTCACAATATCAAGGTAGAATTTGTTCATAAAACTAGAGAATAAGTCTCGCGTTCATTTCGGAGTTTTCGTGAAATCGGATAGTTTTCTTCGTCACTATGGAGAACTAATGGGTTCTCCATTTCGAAAAGCAATTCTAAACTTGCCTTGAGGCCACTTCAGCGCTAAAATTTTACATTTAGATGAGCCCAGGATGTGTTATTTCCTATCAGAAGAGGTCGTCCTCATCAAAACTTAAGCATTTCCCTTTAAATGTAATCTTGGTTCAAACAAAAACTAAAGCGATATGAGTGATGAAAGCGTGAGTGGTAAAGGTGTTCGATGAAATGACTCTGATGAGTAGGCATAACGAAAACATGACTCTAACAATATTCTCTTCAATATCTTCTTCTTCTTCTTCTCTTCTTCTGACTCTTTGAATATTTGCTTATACATTAACACATATGACAGAGGGAAAGCAAAAGGAGTAGCAGTTAGAGATTTTATGCCATAATACACGTATGGTCGATTGGTTTACTCTGCTTACGGATAACTTTCCTTGGTAGGAGAATCAGTGCCAGACTTGTCAGTGAAAAGCTCCCTCCGATCCATAAAGACCAATAACTGTCTGAGATAAAAACTTAGAGACGATTTATCAAAGTCATTCTAAGACTTCAGGATGAATTAACTTCACTACCATTTAACAACATCTATGAGAAGATAAAGTCCTCAAGTCGTAAACAAACCCACGCTCAAACTGGAAGACTCTCGTGGGTAACGAACTTATGCTGCAGACCTAGTGAAAGAAGAGCAGAGATCAGAAAAAGTTTTGTTGTCCCGTCATGTGAACAAAAGGTGCCGAAGAAGCTCAGTGAGAGAATGTCGCCGAAATCAAAACTGGAACGACGGTGTGTTCAAGCCACAAATGACAACCAAAGTGTGGAAGTATTTCGTCGGAAAACAGCTGTTCTATGACGTCAAACATTGCTGACTCAGATGACTTAATAATTTGAAAACATCTTGTTGCGTTTCATAAGAGATTGTTCCCATCTATTTTCACTAATTTCTCCCTATTCATAAATTTGTCGAAGTCGAGCAGATATACATTCAATGATTCGGAGAAAAACAAACAGTGATTCTTTTCTAGAAAGTGGCTTCATGGAAAAGAATGGCCAGAATTGTAAGCAAAGAAGTAAGGGGGACTGTTGCTGGACTCCACGACCATAAGAAAATTCAACGTCTTTGAGGCATGTACTTTTTTGTCTGACGTTGTCACGGGAAATGAACTCGCATTTAATTAAGTTGCTTAGTCCTTTTCGATAAAGATGGCTCCCTGAAAAAAAGATGATTCACGCTGCTTCTCTTTAAATTACTGCGCACATATGCAATTCATTTTTGGACCTAAAACATCCTATTGAAGCTCTCTTCCGCATGATATTCTGTATAGAATTGGTTCAGTAGAAATAAAAAGAGATTTCAGATCAGTTTATGGCTTGTGTGATGGCATGCCGATGCTAGAAGAGAAACGAAGACCTGCTGTGCAGCGGTTGAACCCTTCAGGGGGGATTTCCTAGAGGCGATGAAGCACTGAAAAAAGTCATGACGACAAACTGGCAGTCCGCAGACACTCGTATATTATCCACAATGACTTCGTGAAGCAGTGAGACTGCAGCAAAACGAAAGCATTGTTGTAAAAAACTGATGGCGTGGAAATTGAATGAAATTGACCGGAAAATTCTGCTTCAGTTGAAAGCGTAGAAAAAGCAGAAGAAGATAGGCTTAGTGCTTTCATGATCGCGCCCATCGTCGCATTCAAGGCTCATCAGACCGCGTGTCAATGCAACGCTATGCGCACTGAGATCAAAATGTACGAACCGCGACACGCCCAAGAGGAAAGGCTTTTATGAGGTTATCATCTGATTCGGTTCCTTCACTCATTTTCCGTGCCTCTATAATTTCTACTTAATCATACGATGTACTCTATTAACTAAACACGGTGTTGCTTTGCAAAAAAAATGTGTGAGTGAGAATACCCATGTAAGACTCCGTGTGGCTGGTCTCAAATAGTAACCGGAAAACTTAATAAACATTTTTCTGAAGAAACCTTAAATATTATAAGGTAAATACGCTCTGAGAAAGGCGGAACCACCGAAACGCTAGCTATTGGGTGCTAATATATGCTGTAGTGCGAAGTTCGTGTTTTCTTATCAAGAAAAACAATGTTACTTAAATACTGAGAATATCATTAGCGACGATTCCAATTATTCGCTAAAGGCCAGTGAATTTTCCATAACAAAAGTATTCGAAGTTATAACGACTTCAATGTACTATAACAAAACTTCGCCTATCGCTCAAAGCTATGTATAATTCCTCTCATATCTGATTATGATTATTCAGGTGTGGTGGACAGCGCGTGAGCCCAAGGGAAGAGTAAATCGCGAGGTGGAAGCCCACATGGGGTCCAAAGTTTTGCGCATATCTCAGCATCTTCTAGGCTACATTTTTCCGAAGAAACCTTAAATATTATAAGGTAAACACGGCCTCCCCGCTAGACTAAAAAATGTTCTATCTTGTGGATAAATACTCCTGATTTTAATGGATTTAGACTTATTCAAGGCAACAGATTTCATCAATAGAACTTCACCAAGAGCTGACACACCTTGATTTAAGTCTTAAAGGGGTTAAATTTTCCTTAGCAATACATGTACTGAAATCGATCAGCATTGTCGGGAATCTGTTACAACGCAGATTATTGAGGAAGACGCTTAAAGCCAACGTTACATTTTACCCGATTGTATAATATTTCGAAATATTTTGGTAAGAGTTTCATTGCCAATGCCATGAAACGAGGAGAACGCTTCAAAGATCTAGAGAAAGTAGCTGTTGAAACGAATTTACCATAACTATAAACATGTTCTCGTTTCATGGCATCAATCATGGATCTGCA